TTACTACTCTTATTTTTATCAATATTATTACGCATATTACTACTTTTATTATCATTATCCTTATTATTCCTATTCTTATCAATATTATTCCGCATATTACTACTTTTATTAACATTATCCTTATTATTCCTATTATTATCAATATTATTACGCATATTACTACTTTTATTTACTACTCTTATTTTTATCAATATTATTACGCATATTACTACTTTTATTATCATTATCCTTATTATTCTTATTATTATCAACATTATTACGCATATTACGACTACTATCATCGCTAGAACTGCAATTATCCTTACTACTTCTATTCTTATCAATATTATTACGCATATTACTACTTTTATTAACATTATCCTTATTATTCCTATTATTATCAATATAATTACGCATATTACGACTACTATCGTCGCTGGAACTGCAATTATCCTTATTACTCCTATTATTACCAATATTATTACTCATATTACTACTTTTAATATCATTATCCTTATTATTCCTATTATTATCAATGTTATTACGCATATCACGACTACTATCATCGCTGGAACTGTAATTATCCCCACTACTCTTATTATTATCAATAATCGGTTATATTAGGTTAGGTCAGGCCCCAAGGATAGGTCACATTAGGTTAGGTCATATTAGGTTAGGTCAGGGCCTATGGTTAGGTCATGTTAGGTTAGGTCTGGGCAAAAGTTAGGTCATATTAGGTTAGGTGAGGGCCCAAGGTTAGGTCACATTATGTTAGGTCAGGGCCCAAGGTTAGGTCACATTAGGTTAGGTCAGGGCCCAAGGTTAGGTCATATTAGGTTAGTTCAGGGCCTAAGGTTCGGTTAAATTAGGTTAGGTCTGGGCCTAAGGTTAGGTCATATTAGGTTAGGTCTGGACCTAAGGTTAGGTCATATTGGGTTAGGTCAGGGCCCAAGGTTAGGTCATATTAGGTTAGTTCAGGGCCTAAGGTTCGGTTAAATTAGGTTAGGTCTGGGCCTAAGGTTAGGTCATATTAGGTTAGGTCAGGGCCTATGGTTAGGTCATGTTAGGTTAGGTCTGGGCAAAAGTTAGGTCATATTAGGTTAGGTGAGGGCCCAAGGTTAGGTCACATTATGTTAGGTCAGGGCCCAAGGTTAGGTCACATTAGGTTAGGTCAGGGCCCAAGGTTAGGTCAGAATAGGTTAGGTCTGGGTAGGTTAGGTCGGTTAGGTACCCAGACCTAACCTATTGCAACCTAACCCTAGGGTCCGACCTAACCTTTTCCAACCTAAC